GGGTTATGTAGGACAATGAAATTTTGAATCATAAACTAATTTCTATAAATATAACCCTTGTATTAAAAGGAACCTTATAATAAAAGCAACGGAATTGAAAATAATAATAATTTGATTCCTTATATTAAGATCTATTCATGATTTATACAAATTGAGAAATCTTAAATCTATATAGAAGATTAAGTGATATATCTTGAAGCGTGTTTTTAACAATATTCAAGTATTTTCAAACTTGAATTTAATCTTTACCCTAAGCCTTGTATATGTTTGGTTTCTATCGGTATTCACACGAATTGACAAATTTGAAAGATTTACTTTAGCCATTGATATATTAATAAAGAGTGAGAATGAGGGGTGATTTTTCTTGTATTAACAAGAGAGTTGTTATATCTTATATCTATCTTTTGTATAAAAGTATTTATGGATTTTTAAACGCTTTAATCCTACTTTGGGTCAAGTTGCAATTCTAATTATTTCATATAATCTTTTTATTAACCATTAATTGTAATAAAGTTCCTAATTAACTCTTAATTAGTTGTTTTTCTTTTATTTTTTAATTTCCAATCAAATTTATTGTGTGTAATTCTATAGGTTCAAGCATATCCAGTTGTATGCATTTGATACTGACTACAAGTAGTATTTCAAAGTATAACTCTTTTTAATTTAGCTTGAATTAGAATTCTTCTAATTCTCCCTTTATGAAGAACAATTAATATATTTATATTAATTTCATTCTTTGAGCTTCTGNATAAAGGAAGGAAGGAAGAATAATATTAGAACAGTCTGAAAGAGTGTTAGAAATTTAAAATAGACAATTAAATTACCAGAAGAAGAAACCAGAGCATTATAAGATATCAATTCCCACCGGGTTTGGCATATAAAAACTGAAACTCAGAACCCCCGGCCACGACACCGAGAAGCAATAAGTAGATAAAAATCCCAAATTAGTGATTCCAAGGTTCTTGCAACTGAATCATACAAGTTGAAGAAGGAAGGAGGCGTGACTGTGAATCCCAACCACCCAACAAAAGATGTTAGATGGAGAGGAATACTCTTCCTCGGCAGCTGTTACAGCAGAGTGTTTCAGCAGCCTGAGCACCCTGTTAAAGAAGAAGAATAAGGGAATGAACAAAAAGAGGTTCAGTGATGAACAAATCAGATCATTAGAAACCATGTTCGAGTACGAGTCCAAGCTTGAACCACGTCAAAAGCTGCAGCTGGCCAGAGAACTTGGATTACAACCACGCCAAGTTGCAATATGGTTTCAGAATAAGAGAGCTCGATGGAAGTCAAAGCAGCTCGAGAGGGACTACGCCATATTACTATCCAATTACAACACTCTAGCCTCCCAGTTCGAAACCTTGAAGAAAGAGAAGCAGTCCTTACTTACACAGGTAATATAATTTGTGGTTCTTCATCCGTTGGTGATCAAAATAGCATTAATTATTAGATGTAATTTTAAATCAGGAGGAGCTTATAAATTAAAGCTGATTTTCAATTTTTGACAGTTGCAGAAGCTGAATGATCTGGTAGGGAAATCGCGGGAGGAGAGCCAGTGTTGCAGGGAAGCATTAGCCAGCATTGATCATGGAAAAATAGAGAAGGGGCATAGTACTGTCAAGTGTGAATTTGAGGTGAAACCACCCAGTTTGTGTTTGTCCTTTGACAGATCACAACATGACGGAGTTGGTCTCTTTTGCGGGGATGATAGCAGCATAAAGGCCGAGTACCTCGTGCAGCTGGATGAAGAATCTGATGACCTTCTAAACATGGCCGATGGTTCTCCTGAAAATTGGGGCAGTCTTGACTCCAATGATCTCTTAGACCAGTCAGCTAGTAGTAATCATGAGTGGTTTGATTTCTGGTGTTGAATTAATGAAAGTTAATCTCTGAATGAATGATTATATATATATGGACGAACTGTATGTTTAGGTAGGGGGGTTGAAACAGGGAGGGCCATGGGATGATGGAACGTCTCAGCAGCACATCTATGTATGTATATACTAGAGTTTAAAGTAGGTAATCTGCATTTTGGTCGATGCAGAAGCTAAAACCTTTTTAGTTCATTGTAATTTGAGGTGCTATCTTTTACTTAATGTTGCATTGCATAGTTCAGTTGATACATACATACATATATATATATAAACAAATTTCGCTTGAAATACAAGAGAATTTTCGCACTGAACAACATTATTAGTTTGATAGATATCCATGCCCAACATTCATTATAAGGCAAACCGAGAGTAAAGAGTGGCTGCAGAGATCCTACGATAAATATAGGAACATATGACAAAACTGCAACCATTAAAGTCATTTTACATGGGCAGCCAAAGCAACACAATTTTCTTTTTTT